CCAAAATAAATCATATTCAGTATCATTGAAAATCCTAGATGGCCGCCGCCACAAAATGGCCACGAAATGAGGGATAACATATTTTTTCACAACCCTCTCAATATGGGCATCCAATGAAGAGAATGCAGTACGTCATGAAAATGTACCAAATCCAAGATGGCCGCCACCATAAAATGACGAAAGATTTTGATAAGTGGAACACAGAGCATTTAGAAAAAAAAAACCTCATCCAAAATGGCGCCACAGACAAAATGTTGGATCATAAATTTTAAACAGTCAAATTAAAAATAATTTATTTCAATAAAAATAAACAAACAGATCCTCATTTTCGTTGTTGGTGTTTCCGACAAGGTAGGAGTATGGCATTATACAAAAAGAAGGTAGTTCCATTTAATGACATTCGTTGTGGGGGTCGAAAATGGGGTTGATGACTAGGTTTCAGAACGCATGAAGAAAGTGATCAAAATTATACTTACATATCGTCGTTTAAAGTACAAAACCGCGTATCGTCGTTCTGCAAAACCGCGTAACTGACATTTTTTGCCAAAAATTGGTAATTGATACTGAAGATAGCACAACGCCAAAACCGGTTTGTCTCCAAACCAAATTTGACAAGGGATGACGGAAGATCGTTCCACGATATTTCAACAAAGAGACTTAAACTTAGCCAAAAACATTTTCAAAATTTTTCTATAAGCTAAATCCTTATATTGAATATATATTTGAATTTTTAAGTAGGTGGTACAGATTCTACATTTAGTTATAAATAAGACCTTTCAAAGCCACTTTGATTGATACCCCTATATGCAATAATTCATTTAACTTATTGAATAATTTGAACAGGTGGCGCAACACTCTTCAAACACTTCATAAATAATCCTAATTTTAAGTCTAAAAATTTCGTAACAATCTTTCGTCTGACACCCATACTTTAATATTTCATATAACTTATTTGTAAGGGAAGGGCCTTGAGCTATCGGAGTTACTTTCATTCTAAGACCATCCTGATGAAATCTGTAGTAAGTGTGCCAAATTTGATTCTGATGGGGAAAGCGGCTGAGGAAGTAGCCCATTTTTCAATCCAGTTCATAAATCATCTGTGTGAAAGTTTTCCTTTTCAAACAGGTGGCAACCCTCTTAAAAAAATCTTCGAAATTAAGATCTCTTAAACTTTTTTTCGGTTGACACCTGTATTGCAATATTTGATGGAATTTATTCATTTAATTTAACTTTTTAACAGGTGGCAACCCCTAAAAAAGGTAGCTTATTTTCCAAACTAGGTCATAAACTATCCGCGTACAAAATTACATGCAAATCCGTACAGTCGTTTCCGTGTGAAGGACAAACAAACATGTAGGATATATGTATATACAAAGATATAGATGATGTAGACAACATACTAAAAGATTAATAGATTTACTAAATGAATAGCAGGTTTTAAGCTGGATTGGTATATAAAATTATTCTGCAGGAACTTGCTTTGATTTAATACAAAGCCCTGTTAACATAAGTATTGATTGCATATTATTTGCATATCTTTTTCATATTTTCTGCATATACAAATTTCATAGAATTCCGATGTCTAATAATAAGTAAAGGTAAATAGCTAATACCCGTTTGCTTTGCGGCGCCTAAAAACACCTTTCGAACTGTAAAATAATCATTAAATTCTATTCTATGTATATCTACAATACGTGTACCGAATTCCAATCACATCAGACCATAAATAAAAATTTTTAGAATACATCGATCCCTGGTCCATCTATCAGAAAAAAGTATCCTATATGTTAATCCTACATGTTAGGCAATAAGCTACCTACCTACGTGACGAATTTCAAGCAAATCGGACCATAACGAAGATTTTTCGAATAGATCGGTCCCTGGTCCACCTACCGGAAAAAGTATCAAACATAACGTACTAAATTTCAAGCAAATCGGACCATTAATACGATTTTTTCGAATATGTAGACCGATCACTGGTCCACTTATCGGAAAAAAGGATCCTCTATGTTAATCTAGGAAAAAAGCTATCTATGTACTAAATTTAAAGCAAATCGGCTCTACGAAGATTTCTTTTTAGAATAGATCGGTCCCTGGCCCACTTCCCGAAAAAAGGATCCTATACCCTAATCTAGGCAAAAAGCTACCTACATACTACGTACCAAATTTTAAGCAAATCGCACCATAAATACGATTTTTTCGAATAGACCGGTCGTTGGTCCACCTACCAGAAAATAGTATTTTTTGTTTTTGCCTATGCCATGGTGGTTGTTGAAGGCTATTCATATACAAAATTTCATGAAAATCAGACCAGCCGTTCGCGAGATTACCTGTTACAAAAAAGGGACTTCTCTTTATATAATTAGTGTATATTTATGTATGTATATATGCCCCTTATTCGATTAAAAAACAATTACAACTGTGGGTAGTAGCGACTTTAAGATACATATTAGTAAACATACGCGCTGGCGTGTCGTTGCAAAAACAGAAGTGGATTTTGACTTCGATTACAAAATTGCCAAACTCTGCGAATTGTGCAAAACTATTTGTATAAAAGTTTTTGCGGTCATATTGGAAATGTTTAAGGTTAATTTTCCAAGTTTTTAAATGCCTAAATCTTTTCTGCTGTCCTAAGTACTTAAATTTAGTGGGCTGTAAAACTGCATACCTAGAATTTTTCTAAAAATTGTGAACAAAAAGTTCAAAAGTTTTGGGTGTAATTGTTAAAGTTTGTTGGATTTTTATAATGTCTGTACAACGTCTCTGTCTCTGTTGACATTTCGATTTTATATTTGATTTGCGGAGGCCGCTGTGGATTTCAAAAATTCCCGACGTCTTGCTTTTTTGAGTCAAGTACAATAACTATACCGAGTTTGATACAAATCGATGGAACGGTTACAGAGATACATATGTATGTATATGTATATGGTCGTAAGTGGGCGGTGCCATGCCCATTTTCCCAAAATTGTTTGTAAACGTATTTCTTGTTAAAGAATTATTGCAAACAATTTTGAATAAATTCGCTTGCAGAACGTAATCTTACTCCAACGAAAAAAATCTCCAAAATTGGACTAGGCCAGGACTATCTTACGGTCAGTGTTGATTGGACCGGTGCTTTTCCAATGACACGCCAATGCTAAAAATGGCAGTTGAAACCATTGGCAGGGGAATTATGAGGGACTAGTGCTGGTAACAATAGGGACTATCTGAGGGCTAACCTACGGTGGGTGAGTCAATTGCTGCAGGGTACGTATCTGCATATGTACATACAATTCTTATAATTTCATCATGGGTCCGAGTTATAAAATTAATAGAATTTCGCTTGGGGAACCCATGTTTCTTTGTGGGAAGTTTGGGCCAGTATAATGTACATATTGTCGTTTAAAGTACAAAACCGCGTATCGTCATTCAGCAAAACCGCGTAACGGACATTTGCTGCCAAAAATTGGATTTGCTCACACAAGCATCTTGGCTCAGTCCTTATCCATTCGTCCTGAAATATACTAGCAAGAAAAGCGTTTGCTTTATAAAAAAAAATATAGTTTAAAAAACTAAAACCTCCCTATTATAATTGCCATTCGTACTGTCATCAGGTATGTAACTTGAGAATAGAAATCGCTGCATCTTTTAGGCGCATCAATATTACATATTTACATCGAGCTAATAAAAGGAAGATAATAATAAAAAAGGAAGGTAAAAAGAGAACCATTTTGTAATATGAGTGTTTTTACTCACTAGAAAGAAATTTATGCAACCTAACATACGCGGTTTTGCATTTTGTTGATACGCGGTTTTGTGCTTTAATCGACGATATGTACATTAGACTGCAGCACTCCACATACAAAAAAAAAATCGGTACTGTTTTTCCACTGGAATTATAAAATCTATTATATTTTCAGACGTCCACCAAAATATTTCGGAAAATTATTAAGATTTAAGCGAGCTAGACCGATTTGAAAATACCTCCAAAAATGGAGTGTTTTATGAATAAAAATAGTTTCTTAAAGATGTTTTTTGAAAAAATCCCCTCAAATGAGAAAACGGTTTGAGCTTAAACAGCTTTCTCGCTTTCTTTGGCCCAATTCAGCGTCGTTCATGAGTTAGACCTCGTTGAAAGAAAGAATCGCCTGAGAAAGAAAACAGGATAAAGGATTTACATTACATTAAATGTTTAAGAAAAACTTCAATAACTGGGCCAAAACTATACCGACATAGACTTGGGAGGTATCATTGGAAATTTATTTTCTCACCCTATTCATTTCTTTGCAAAAAAACTCATTCAGGTCCCAACTTTTTCTTTGTCAAATACCAACACATCTTAATTCTACATGGAATAAAGCTCGTTTGTCTTACCTTTCTCTTTCATGCTTTAATTGAGCTTATTTGCAAAGGAAATGGGAGAGAAAATTCCTTTCCAATGATACCTCATAAGTTTTTTTTTTATTTTAAATCGATCCAGCGCATGTAAATCCTAATATTTTTTACGAAATATTTCGGTGAAAGTCTTAAAATATAATAGATTTTATAGTTCCGGTGTAATGGGAGTGATGAAATCT